CATGTGGGATATTTTGGATGGACTGTTCCCAGAAGCATTTTGATGGTTTTAGTTTCTGATTATTATAAAGTATTAAGAGTAACATGGCTCCATGTTGGTCTTTCAGGGCTGTTTGCGGTAAGGGCTGGCCGGCTGCAGGGCACACACCTTCTCCCACTGTGGTCCTCCTATTCAAGGGGTACTGGGTGCAGTGGAGGCCTAGGCCACAGGCCTTTCAAGAAGAGGACAGGCAGGACCTGTCCCTGGAGGTGCCATGACACCGGTACTTTCAGCACACTTTGGATTCAGGGTGGTGGTCTCGTGGGTTCTAGAGAGTTCTGGAGCCCACGTGCTCATCCTGTGTGCTTGGGAGCCCAGAAACAGTGCTGACAGCGCTGTGCTACAGGACATCAGGGCAGAACCAGCTACATCTGCTTCTTCTGGTAAGAAAGACCCCTGAATGGAGTCCACGCCAGGCCCCACAGCGTTCTGAGCGCTCTCTGGAGAGGCTCCTGGACGAAGAGTATATAGTGTTCCTGGGCATGTATGCTGGGTGTGATATTTGGTCAAACATTATTCTAGATGTTCCTGTGAAGGTATGTTTTAGATGAGATTCACATTTAAATCAGTAGACTTTGGGTAAAGCAGATTACCCTCCATAATGTGGGTGGCCCTCGTCCAATCAGGTGAAGGACTGAAGAGCCCACAAGATTGACCTTCCCGGAGGAAGAGAGAATTCTGCCAATGACTGCACCTTGAGCTCAGTCTTGAGCTGCAGCTCTTCCCAGACTGCTGGGGTCTACCCTGCAGATTTTGGACTTGCCAGCCTCCACAATCACAGGAGCCCATTCCTTAAAGAAACGCTCACTCTGTGTATATATATATACCGTATATGTATATATACTGCATATGTATATACGTGTGTGTGTACATGTGCAGATATGTGTATATATGCTACTGGCTCTGTTTTTCTGGAGAACCCTGGCTAATCTCCTGAGTATGCAAAGAGAATGGGTTCACCTGGCTCTACAGTTTACACGTCATGACAGCAGTGGCTCCCCTCCACTGCAGGCCCCCCTGAAATGCTTTGGCTGTTTCCTCTCCCCATGAGAACCTGACAAGCAGTTGAGTCTTAGGCTCCAAACCCAGTCCTGTCTACTCCACAGACCAGCTTTCACTGTTCACAGCCATCCTGTGATGCAGGAGCGGGCCCCCCAGGACTCCCACTGGGGGTGCAGGGGTGGGCTCTGCCAGCACTTCACTGTTTACAGATGGCAGGGGCAGAAAGGGGCTGGCCAGGCCGCCTGCCTCTGTGGGGAGGAAGAGACCTTCTTTCAGCCAACAGCCCCATCTCTGTCCCCTGCTCCACCCCAGGCCTCTTTCTCCCAAGGCATCAAAATACTGCCGAGAGCACGTGGACCAAGGGAGCTTTTGTGTGGACATCGGGTTACCCTGGTTCACCCTAGAGATGGTAGGGCGAGAGCCCAATGGATGGGTGCAGCTTGAGGCCAGGCCTTGGTGACTCAGTGACCAGGCCAAAGCACGCTTGTCCTGTAACACTTATTGGGCTGCTTGGGTGTGTGAGGTGCCACAGGTGCCCGGGAGGGCGGGGCACTCACCCATACATGAAATGGAGATATTAGCATATTCTGGGGGTACGGGTGTGTGGAGAGGGCTTGGGGACGTGCGTAAGGAGACATCTCTTCACATCCTGGTTTCTGTGGCACACTTCGGGCGCTCTCCTGAGAAATCCTGGGAGACGAGTGTGAGCTGGCTCACGCCCACCTGTCCCTTCTCACTGAGTTCCGGTCTGGGCCAGAAGGGGAGGTACCGGGCGCAGGAGGAAGCGCAGAACTTGGTGCCAATCCCACAGGGGAAGTTGTAGATTTCCGAGGCTTTCGTGGTGTCCTCAGACTCCTGGGCTTGATTCCACGCCAGGAGGCCTCTCTCCTCCAGACTTCCTGATAGGAGACAGCGAGTAGTCAAGACTGGGCCCTGATGGAGTGGGGCAGAACCGGGACTGGAGGGAGCCTCTGGCGCCCCCTGCAGGAGCTTGTGAGGTCTCCACTCAGGGCCCTCCACCTGCCAACAGAGCCGTCTCTTCCTTCTCCAAGCCCATCTCAAGAGTCACAGCTCAGCTCAGCTCAGCTCATCAGGCATTCCCTGAGCTCGCATTGTGGGGCTGACAGGGTGCAGAGCTCGGGGGTGGGGCCTTATATGAACCTCCGTCCTTTCCTCATCTTCAGGGGGCGGGCCTTCCCACATCTTAATGCTTCTGGAATGCAGACGCATTGTAAACTTGGTGGAGAGAAGAGATGTGGAAAACAGAATACCACGAAGCAGGTGCCATCAGAGAGGTCCTTTCAAGAGGCCGCGACAGGGTCAAGAAGGGAGCACTGAAAGCCACCAGGTATGACAGCCCTGCACTCTCCACCGTCAGCGTCCTCAGCACTTCGAGACTCGGTTTGCTCACCATTGCACTTACTACCCTGTATTGTAATTGTTTTCTCTCTCCCCTGTTAGCCTGTGGTTTCGGAAGGCAGGGGGCATGTCTATCTGCTCTTGGTATTCTCAGTACATTGCACCTGGAACACAGCAAGTGCTCAATGAGATTTTATTGAAAATTGAACGAACGAATGAATGAATGAATACATGTGTTCTTTCCCTCACCCACTAGACTTAAAACTCTAAAAAAGCTGGGGCTGTGTCTTTTTCTTTTTGCTTCTTGTGTATTTCTCACCTAAGGCCCTGTCATGAGCTGAATTGTGTACCCCCAAAGAACATGTAGAAGCCCTAACGCCCATACCTCAGAATGTGACCACATTTGGAGACAGGACATTTAAAGAGGTGACTAAGTTAAAGCTGAGGGCTTTAGGATGGGTCCTAATCTAATCAGACTAGTGCCTTTATAAGAAGAGGTGTCTAGGACACAGGGACATACCCGGGAAGCACCCACAAAGGGAAGGGCAGGTGAGGACACAGCAAAAAAGTGGCCATCTACAAGCTTAGGAGAGAGGTCTCAGGAGAAACCAGCCCTGCCAACACCTTTGTCGTGGACTTCCAGCTTGCAGACTGTGAGAAAATACATTTCGGTTGTTTAAGCCCCCAGTCTGTGGTATTTGGTGATGGCAACCCTAGAAAGCTCATACAGGTCCGTATACCACCACCCCTGACCCAGGGCTTGCTCAGGGTACGCTGTGGCCAGTCTGACATGGTCATCAGGGCTGGAGAAGCTATGTGGGGGTCGCCCATGCTGGCCATCTACCTAAACTGCTAGCTTACAGAGCGAAGGTGAGCCTTACCAGGGATGGTGTTGTCCAGTAGAAAGCCCAGAAATCCACCGACAAACATGCCCGTGGTCAGCAGCACCTGGATGACCTGGTCCAGCTGGAGAACCCCTAGAGTGGAGACAAAGGCGACAGGGATTCCCAGGGACCAAGGGACCTGCTGGCTCTGCCTCGAGTGGTCATAGTCTAGAAGATGGGGACTCACCTGTCTGGAGCTTGTCGGGGTTCTTGTTCACCCAGTTGGGAATGGCGAGCCCACAGTAGATGGAGAAGCCAAAGATAAAGATATTCCTGGACGAGTTCATGTCCACGTACTGTGAGAGAGATGTCGCCATGGCAGCCCAGAGCCATCAGCACCTTTGCTGCTCACCCATCGAACACCCCTCCAAGTGCCCCTGCACTCCCACCGCCACCAGAGTTTCGGGGGGGAGGCTGGACTCAGAGCAACACATGCTCTCAGTGAACAAGCCAGGCCCTGAGTCCCACTTGACCTTGGGAGCTGAGTGGTTTGGATAATCCAAATCAAACGGATGCAATTTCTGCTCCTCAGACGTTCTGGCTATATCTGTCTTCCATTTGGGGGCCAGTGTGGTTTCTAGGACCAAGGACCCCCAGCCCTGTCCCGTTCATCTCAGTCCCCATGGGCTCCCTCCACGAGATGCACTGCTTTGCTCCCCCAAGGGCCGCTGGCTCACCTGCAGATTAGAAATCCCCACAGCAGAGATGACTCCGAACATCACCAGGTACATGCCCCCGATCACAGGGGTGGGGATGGTCGCAAATGCAGCCCCTATCTTCCCAAAAACACCCATCAGGAGCAGCACACAGCCCGCGGCGACAATCACCATCCTGCTCCCCACCTGCAGCAGGAGACAGGGGTGAAGGGGGCGGGGGGGGTGTGTGTGAGGAGCTCAGTGCCAGCCAGGCCACATGCCCCAGGGCCCTCTGCCCCACTCCCGGGGCACCTCAAACAATGCTCCCAGGGACTCGCAGGGGCAGTGCCACCTAACCTCAGAATGACCCCCCTCTGCTCCCACGTGGGGTCTGGGAAAGGAAGAGGATGTGACCAGGTGGCAGTTGCATATTCAGATTTGGAGGTCTGACACAGGGCTGGGCCACAGGTAATGAAGCTCCCACCCAAACTTCAGAAAGTAGGGAATTTCTTCAGTGCTCGCAAAGCCTTGGTCTGCCAGTGCCGGGATGGACTCTCTGCCAATCGAATTGCCACATCCAAAAAGGGCAAGTATGGTGGCCCCTCAAAGATGTCACGGCCTAATCCCCAAACCTGTGACTACGTTACCACGCGTGGCAAAAGGGACTTTGCAGGTGTGATGACGTGGAGGATTTTGAGACGGAGACAGCATCCTGAATTATCTAGGTGGGCCCAACCTAATTTTGTGAGTCCTTATAAGCAGAGCACGCTCCCTGGCTGTGGTCAGAGGGAGATGTGACTGTGGAAGCAGGGTCAGAGAGATGCAACGTTGCTGGCTTTGAAGATGGAGCATGGGGGCCATAGCCAAGGAATGTGGGCAGCCTCTGGGTGATGGAAAAAGCAAGGGGATGGGGTCTCCTGTGGAGCCTTCAGAGAGGAACACAGCCCTGCCAATACCTATATTTCAGCCCCACAAGACCCGTGTCGGGCTTCTGGCCTCCAGATCAGTAAAATCATAAATGTGGGTTGTTTGAAGCCACGAGGTCTGTGCTAATTTGTTGCAGCAGGACTAGGAGACTAATACACTGAGTGACACATTTAGGTTCCCAGCCCGCCCCCGCAGGAGCCACCATCAGCAACCTTACCCTGGTGATACCCAGCGCTCCGACATTCTCGCTGTAGGAGGTGGTGCCGTTCCCTGTTCCCCAGGCCCCTGCCAGCAGGCAGCCCAGGCCCTCAATGCCAATGCCACGGTTGATGGCGTGCTTTGGAGGGGGCGGGGCTCCCACCAGCCGGGCACAGGCGTAATAATCGCCTACTGACTCCACCATCGAGGAGATCACCCCGGCTATGATCCCAAAGACCCCAGCCAGGCTGATGGTGGGGATGCCCCACTGTCCTGAAAACGCAATACAGAGGGAATATTAATCCGGAAGATCACAGGCTGCCGAACCCCAAATAACGTCTTTGCATGTCTTCGGCCCCACAACTGCCCAGAGGCGCTGGCTCAGGCTCCTCCCTACCATTCCCCCACTGACAGTGGGTCAGAAGCCCTGACCTTGAGATCGCTGTTCACAAGAAGAGCCAGCAGCGGGGGAGTCTTCCCAGCAAAGCCTTGACGCACGTGCAAACCGAGATTCTTACTCGGGGAGGCCCCAGCCCCACAGTCTATAGGGCCAGACCAGCCCACCCTGGAACCTGGTTATTTATACACCTTGAGCCAAGAACTGTGGTGAAAGGAGCCCAGCAGTGGCCTAAGGGATGGCCTTGAACTCGTCTCCCCAGGAATGTCCTCGTGTGGGATACTCCAAATCCAGGAGGAGATCCAAAGGCCCAACTAGGAATATGGGGGCTCTTGGTCCTCTCCCCACACCCAGGCTCATAGGCTCTGAGCAGCGTAGAGGTGGACGAGGGACGTAAGCCAGCTCGGAGGTAGGCCTGGGAGTGGGGGGCCTCTGGTCCAGCACCCACCCTCCAAAGGATTCCTAGGACAACCCAGGGGTCTCCTTCTTCTCTTAGGGGTCCAGTATGGATTTCCTAGGGCCTGTCCCTCATCAAAGTCCTTGGAGGAGAAGCCCACCTCCTGCCCTATTCAACCCCCGTCCAGTACCCTGGGCCCCATGGGCAGTCCTGGCAAACATAAGCCCCAGGCCAGAAGGGCCCCCATCTTTTTGTTACCTGGGTAAGGGAAGCGAAACCAAGGGGCCTGGCTCAGAACGTTGCCTTTGGTGTCCGTGCGGGCCAGATACCCATAGGCTGTGGGGGCGGAGGGGAAGGTATTGGTGATGGTGAACACGAAGCAGAGGAACCAGGAGATGCAGAGCCCTAGCAGCACCTGTCGGAGGGATCCGCTCGTCACCGCGGGGCCTGCTCCCCAGCCCCTGCCAACCCCTCCCAGAGGGGCTGCCTGGAGGACAGAGTTCAGGAAACCTCTTTGAAATGAGAACGCATTGGTAAATGGCCCTTCCAGTGACAACAGGAATCTGGTGTGTGGAGGCTAATTAGCACATTAAAAGAACGTAAAAAATAAACTGTGGGGAGACCTTGTGTCAAATAGGGGCGGACTGTCTTAGTAAAGTGGGTGTTTATTAAATAGTCTGTCTCCCTTTCCACTGTTTGCTGGTCACATGACCTTGGATCAACTTCTCTGAGCCTCAGTTTCCTCATCTGTACAATGGAATTAGATCACTGCTCTGTAAAGCCTGAAGCAGGGTTTCTTAAAGCAGCGTCCTCATATATATGATTTTTAATCTCTGGTGGCCAAACCCCCCCAAATCTGTATTTTTTTTACCAGTGTCCCCAAGCGACTCGTATGCACTCTGAATTTTAGAACAACTGGCCTACAGGGTTGTTGAAGAATCCATGAGATCATTGTGTAGAAGCACCTGGTTACAATGTGAAATGGAGTTCCCAGTTAAATTAGACCTGAAAACGTCTGTGTGTGATTGACAGCTATGCATACTTGACAGTGTGGTGCAAATTCAACAGAGGAGGCTCTGAAAAGGGAGTTACCATCAGCATCACGGGTACTTGAATTACCCATGAGCCACTGTGAAAGAACCTAAGTATCTTGGCCCTTAGTTGTATATAATTAGCAGTGATCCTGGCTGTCTCCCCCAGTATCCCGCTATGAGGGTGGCCCAGGGGACATGAGAAAGCTGTCCCACACTGGTGCCCAGAGCAAGGACCTAAGGCAGGGTTCTCGGTTCCTGGGAGAGAAGCACTGAGGAAAGATCTGGAATGGCATGATGCCAACAGTCAGGGAGTGTTCCCACAGGCTACAGTGGGATCCAGAAAAGTTGAAGAGGGGAAGCCCCTGCAGATGGGGGAGCATTTGATTTGGGGGCCACCCGGGAGTGCAAGAGGCTGTCCTTCACTCTCCAGGTAAGTCAACTAAGAATGGAAGAGGGTTGGGGGTGCTTCTTACAGGGAAGACCTGAAACAGGTAGAACTTAGTGGTGTGACACTTCTTTCGTCCATAAACGGGCACGGGTATAGCGATGTTTTTCAGGTACTGGGAAAACAGCACGATGAGGAAGATGGTCCTGAAACAGAAACAAACCACGCCCAACCTGGCGAGCTGGGACTCATCCTGAGCAAGGGTCCAGGGAGCCAAGCCACCACGTGTCTCTGGGACTGAGGACAGTGGCTGCCCTGGGAGTGCCCCCATCTAGGCATGTCTGCGAGGTGAGTCCTAATGATGTAATAAACAGTGGTAATAATACATTATAAGGAGCAATTTCACTGCTTTTCAAGGTTTCTTAATGTTCATCAAAGTATCTGTAAACCACAGAGGTGGCCAATATCCAGGACTCCTGTTATTCTTGCAGGGTCATCTTCCGCCAAAGGAAACTTAGACGACAGTCCCTCCCCAGAGAGGACTTACATGGCGGAGATCCCCCAGTGGACCCCGGCATCATTGCTTGCAGAATCGAAGAGAGGCAGGGCCACCAGGGAGATGGTAGGAGCGATGGTCAAGGGGCCAATGAATCGCATGAGAAAGCCAATGAGGCCTGAGAAGCCCACTAGCATCTGGACACAGGAAGCAACCATGATGACACCCTGCAGCTGAAGAGGGACACACAGTACAGCTCAGGCATCTCAAAGCTCCCAGCAGGACTGCGGGCCTCAGCCCAGCCACTGCTCCACCTGCTCAGCCTGAGGTGGTATGTTCAGAGGCAAACCTGAGCCCCCGAGGAACTGAAGGAAGGAGAACTCTGATCTCGCTCCTCTCTCGAGTTCTCGACTGCCTGTTGGACATTTTTTTTTTATCGTGCTTTTGGACATTTTTACTGACCATGAACCTTTTCAGGAAGGAGCCCTCAAAAGTATTTACTGATCATAGTGATGATGATGATGACTTAATACTAGCATCATTCAGTAGTGTATTGAACATCTTTTTGCTTTATTTTTTTTCTGTTTTCCTACTTTCTATTGCAGGGGTTGGCGATTTTTTTTTTTTTTGCAAAGGACCAGATGGTGAATATTGGGGGCTTCGCAGGCCATATGACCTCTGTCAAAACTTTTCCAGACAGTAGGTGAGTGGATGTACCCAGCTGTGTTCCAATAAAAGTTCACTTATAGGCACTGAAGTTTGAATGTCACACAGGGGTTGACACGTCAGGAAAGTTTATTCTTCATTTGATTTTTTTCCTTCAGCCATTTAAAATATAAAACCATTTTTAGCTGGTGAGCTGTTCAAAAACAGACAACAGGCCAGATTTGACTCATGGGCTGATGTTCGCCAACCCCTGATCCGCTGGACTGATTACTGCTTCTTTTTAACTTGGCTAGTCCGAATGTTACACAATACATTCTATTTTATCCCTGATAACTTTCCTTGCTCTGATGTCTGCTCTTTCTGAAAGTAACATATCTACTCCTGCTTTTTTTAAAATTAGTGTTAGCATGGTATATTTTTCTCCATCCATTTACTTTTAGTCTATATGTGTCTTTATATTTAAAGTGAGTTTCGTGTGGACAACATATAGTTGGGTCTTGTTTTTTTAATCCACTCTGACAATCTGTCTTTTAATTAGTACATTTAGACCATTGACATTCAAAGTGATTATTGGTATCTTTCTACTTGTTGCCCTTGTTCTTTGTTTCTATTTCTTTTTCTTTTTGTCTCCCACTTTTTTTTTCTGCCTTTTGTGGTATTAACGGAACATTTTATATGAGCGCATTTTCTCTCCTTTCTTAGCATTTTCTCTTCTGTTTTTTTACTCTTTTTTAGTGGTTGCCCTACAGTTTGCAATACACATTTGAGGCTAAGCCAAGTCCACTTTCAAACAACACTATCCCACTTCATGGGTAGGATGAGTGCCTTTTAATAACAAAATAACCCTAATTTCTCTCACCTATCCTGGGTCATTGCTGTCATTCATTTTGCTTCATATATAAGCATGCATAAGTACATAAATAAAAACTACCATGATGCCGGAAAGTGAAGTTAAAGTTGATCTAATGTGCTACAAACTAAACTTGCCATCCCTTCCCACAGTTTTCCTTTTCTGCTACCACCATTTCCTTAACATAGAATCATTGTTCGCTTTTACCTCTCCATTACTTCTCGTATCCCAGTAAGTGATGACATTCCTACTGGTCCTATATTCACATCACTTGCATTTGTGGCCAGTATTGAACTATGCAGTTGGTCGGCTGACCAACAGTGGTTTCAAGCCTTGAGATGTACATGGATAAACATAACTCAGACAAATATGGAGAATCTACCTTAAATTCTAATAGCCTGGCTCAGTGAATAAAACCAATCAACCAATCCCGTCAATTAACAAAATGAGAACTTTTTCTTGTTTGTCGCGCTGATGAGAAAATTGGACCAGCAGAGGGAGCTATAACACCACAGATAGGACTGGGTCTCCTCTCACTGTTGGACGCCTGGAGGCCCCGTGAGGGAAAACGGTGGCACCTATGTTAGACGTGTGCCAGGGGGACCCCATACTCTGGGCCCTGCCTGTTAGAGCAGAGGCTGAAACTTTTTTCTGTAAAAGGCCAGATAGTAAATATTTCAGGTTTTGGGGGCCGTATGAGGTTTCTGGTACACTTTCTTTTTTAAACAACCTTTTAAAATGTAAAAACCATTCTCCAGACCACGCTGGATTTGGTCCAAGAGCCACAGTTTGCTAAATCCTGTTTATACACTACAGAGGGTGCCCAAAAAATGGAAACACATTTTAAGAAAGAAAAACTGTATTAAAATTGTAATACTCAATATATACCAATAACAAAAGATGAATACAAGTCGCGTTGGACTTCTACAATGACAAGAGGTGCTCAAAGTGGTTCCCATCAGCGTCCAGACATTTCTGATGACAGCAAACTACTGCTTGAGCAATCGTGACCAAAGTGTCCACTTGTATACATGTTTTTGGCACCCCTGGTTTATCACCAACACAAAAATAAATAGTAAATGTATTTAGGAAAGTATGCGTGTCTCTGTCACTTGGGATCCCGTGATCAATGCAGGGACAGCATGACCCATATCCCTAAACATCCTCTCTTCCAATACAGTTCAAGCCCCAAGGACATTCCTTTCCATAATTCTTGCCCAGTGTCCTCAAACCACAAGGTTGCTGCTTCTGAACCTGGTGACGGCTTGTGCCATTGGACGCGGACACTTCGTTAGAACAAGGAAGGATTTGAGCAGCAGAGTGCTTAGGTAGGAGAAGAGACAAATTCATTTCTCAGACCCTTCTTCTCAGATGGTATGAAGGCAAGAGGTTCGTACATAAGGAATTACAGGCCTCAGCAGGTCGGAGTGAAAGAGAAACGCTGCTTCTCATTCTTTGCTTAGTTTCCATTTAGATTTATCAAAGCCAAGTAGAGGCTCCCTGGGAGAGAACAAAACAAACACAGAAAAAAAAACACACATGCGCAAAATAAAAACAAACAAAAGAAACAAAGCCCCACAAGCCACAAGTATTCTGTGATTCATTCTAACGACAATACAGTAAAACTAGGTTTCCCAGAAGAAGAACATGCTGATTCGGAAAAGGTGGGGCAACACCCAGCATGCTGAGATGGGCCAATCAACCTGGCAAAAAGCCAGGGCCCTCCGGCTTGACAAGTGAAATTCTTAGGAATATCTTGGCCTGGAACTACAGGGACCTGTTCTTTAACGATTAAAGAGCTCTGTTGCCTCAGGGCCCACCCTGAGATAAGAAGGAAGCACAATGACTTGGTGAGATTATTGGCGTCCACGACATCAGGGTGCACTTTTGGACTGCTAGAGCGTAGTCTTGTGAAAAAAGGCTCTGGCAGGAATCCCCAAGTGATGGTTCAGACTGATCTATGGTTCAGAGGGTCCTCGGGTCCTTAAACAAGCACAGTGCTCCCTGAGGTCTGAGATGTGTCCCCGCTACATGAGGACTGACCCTGTTAGAAGGCAGGGGCTTCAGCCCCGCCATGTTGTGAGGATGTGGCCTGAAGCAGCCATGAGGCGATGAGGATACTGAACATGGATGGGGTGGGTTGCAGGATGACCCTGTCCCTTCGAAAGGTCCTTACTAACTAGTGGGCTACTGGGCACTGTTTGGAATTGGACCACTAGCGCATAGCACCCAAGACTCTGAAATCAGAGATCCCAATCATATCTTCAGTGATGTCAGCAAGATATTCAAATAAGGAAAGGGCTGATCAACAAATTTTGCTGATTAAAGGGAAATAGTTATATTCAGGAAAATAAAAGGCAGTTACATTTTGTAACTGGGATTCCTAGGCTCCATAAGCAAGTGACAGTCACTCCTCTCCTGAGACAGACACTACCTCACAAGACAATCAAATCTAGCAGCAGAGACTTGGGTTCCACAACGTGAGTCTTTGAATTTAGAAAGCACTGGTCGGAGTCTCACTAAAGGTACCTCTGAGAAAAGTTGAGTCTGGAAGAGTGTAACATTGCTACAGGAGGAACTCAATGTAAGAAGTAAAATAAGTCAAAATCCAACCAGCAGACCGAGGTAAGCGTGATGTGGCTGACTGTACACTCATAAACACCCAAAACTATCCCTATAGAATTACAGGGGTTTTTGGGCAGTGGCCAGTGGACTAGCAGTTTGATCTGGCAAGTGGACCATAGAAAACACGATTGAAATTCCACCGTTTGTAGGACAGGACTTGATAGTCAAATCTCAGACACTTAAAAAGAGGAAGGAAGTATGACACCACAGCCCACGAGATGACACCTTGGGCCACAAGGCATGCATACGTGGGCTCACACACAACATAATCCCCATCTGAAGTCACTTAGGTTGCCAGGATGGCCCGCACTGACTGCCAACAACAATGAGCACATGTGCCTTTGGCGGGAGAAGATGAGGATGTATAGCCCATCACAGAGCTGGCAGGCTGCCTCTGCTGGACAGAGCACGGGAGGTTCTCATACTTTTTTAGACTGATACTGACAGGGTTTCTGGTTTGAGCTTTACCTATTCTGCAACTGAAGCCCTGGCCCAGACTGCTATAAAAAGACCGGCACCCCAGATGATCCACTAACAGGAATGTCAACTTATATATCAAACGGCTCAAGGATCATTTTTCATAGCATGAACAGGGCAGGAGGAGACTAAGAAACACAATGTCAAGTGATCGTTTCATATTTCGTGTCACTTATCAAAATCATTGAAATTATTGAAAAATTAGATTGTGTGCTTGGAGCAACCAAATGTGGGTGACAAAGGCACAAAGGGCTGGCTTTCCAGGGTAGGAGAGTGTTAGATTAAGCTACATCTGAGGGGCACCTGTGGAGCAGTTTCTAAATGATAGTTTGAGAAATGAGGTGGGTAAAGAAATGAGGTGGTTGTGTTCCCTAAGATTAGAAAAATAGAAATCAATTTAATTGGGCTTATTGGAATCCTGATGCTATTTATGGGCCAGATTGGAAAGTCTGGTGTTTTCACGATACATCCTACCCAGTGGAGAAGACCCAGTGACAATATACTTATTAAATCATTTGAAAGTACCTTGGAGAAAGACACACAACAAGGGTTTAACGATGTTACTTTTGATGCCCATTATCTAAAGAAGAGCAGAGAAGGACTCAAAACTTCCTCTTCCCATCAGAGCAAAAGAATGAGCAAAGGAATCCAGTGGGGAGAAAGAAAGATGGCGGCAGAAAGAAGTAGAGCTACCAAACAAATTACTGTACCAAACGATGCTACTTTTGCCCTTTATGTTGAAAATAATAAAATGAATTCTTAGCAATATTCTAGATAAATCTTCAGTCTGAGATGAGTCATGCTGGCATCAGAGTTGATTCTACTAAACTGAAGGACATAATAAAACTGGACCCAGAGCATACTTGGCTGTACTGAATGGACAGTGAGGAATGAACATTGTGCATGTAGCAGGCACATCAGAATAGGGTCTGTTGCTTGAATTTTTGCATAAGATTAAGATGGGTCATGGACTAATTATGAGTTCATAGGGGAGGAAAAAATAAAACCAGAGCGGTATTATCCAATGTACAGTAATAGCATGCATTAAAGTGTTGTGTAAATTCTATTCTTTCTTGTTGGTCAAATATGGGTAAAAATAGGAATCTTGTACTGTGTGCCCTCCTGACTTCCCTCTTCCTTTATGTTTTACATACAGGTGATGTGATCATTGTCACAGCCATGAGGCTATGAGTATACTGAACATGGATGGGGTGGGCTGCAGGAAGGACCCTGGCTGGTCTAATTCTTGTTAGCTTGGTTCTGAGGAATATCTAGGAAGCAGACTCTGCTCTAGGTCCTAGCCCTGAGTCAGGAATGTCCTTGGTCCAGCTTTAGTGATCCTGGGAGAGGCGGTGCTGAAGGTGATAAGAGGTATAGTCATGCCTGAGCAACCTTGTACTGGAACCCAATAATCATGACGTGTTTGTGTAATTCGCCCCTGCTCTGGAGGTGGTCTCTGGCCTAGCTCCAGGCCTAGGTGTTTAAGGTCAGCTGGGAGGGAGATGGTGGCACTTTCCAGAGATCTCAAGTGACCTTTACTCTCTCCTATACTACCCCACCCACAAGCACCCCTGCCCCTCACCTCCCATGTCAGATGAAGATGGTGGGGTCTAGAGGCTATCAAGTCTACCCTCCCTGGGGCTGTGGCTGAATTCTCTGCCAAGAATCCTCAATGTGCTGACTTCCTAATCTAGCATTTAGATAAGCCAACCTAGAACATGGCCAAACTTCAGAGTCTACTTTAAGGCCAAAAGTCCCTTTTTCCCAATGATACAACTGAATTAAGCAAGGTTCAGATCCCATAAGTCAGATAAGCACAAGTGTCCAAAGGTAGCAAGCAGACAAAGCAGACAGTACCCACTAACAGAATGGTTAACCAAGCCGGGCCTGCCCATTGGTTTTCCCATTAATCTGAGCCTACTGTAGATATATGTCAATATGGCGCTTGTGCATCTATGAAAACCTTGTAGCAGAATGTCTGGAAAACTGTAAGTACTCGGTAACTACTATCTGCTGCTACTATCTCATCAACATCATCACCATCATCACCATCATCACCATCATCATCATCATCGTCGTCATTGTCACCACCATCATCATCATCACTGTGATGTGTCTCTCTCCTCTTTGCAGCCTCAGCACAAGCACAACACTTGGCACCTGACAGGTATTCAACAATGACATTTGATAAAATGAGAGTGCTCTCTGCCTCCCAGGACTGTTTAGGGAAGTGCTTCAGCTCTTCTTCCTTAAACTATGTGAGCATTTCCAAGTAAACCTAATTTCCCTCTCCATCCTTTCCACCCCGACAGCCCCAATCCTTCTGCTTTTCACCGTGCTTTATTTTCTTCATTGCACTTAAAGCTCCCTGAAATTTCCCTTTTCTACTTACTCTTTGTAATCTTTTTGTCTCTCTCTCCCACACTGACCTGCACACACACTAGGACATCAGCTCTGAAATGGCAGGGTCCTTCTCTGTCTTATCTACAGCAGTATCTTAAAGCCCAGGGCCTTGCCTAGTGGTAAGTTGAACAATGAATGTTGAACCAATGAATCAACACAGCATACCTGCTGAGTACCCCATCCACGCCACACACCCACACACCCACCCCACCCCACCCCACGCCCATTACCTCTCGGATCCTCTTCTGCCATTCCTCTGTGAATTCAGGAGAGCTGGTGTTTACTTGGCTGGCATTGAGTGTCCACTCAGGGCACTTCCAGGTGGGAAGGGAGAGCATGGCCAGGGAGGGTGCCACAAAAGCAAATGTCCCTCCCTGGAGAATGGGCAGCCTGCAGGTGGGGAAAGGATACAGTTACCCACACCATCTTTTAGTACTGGTCTGTCACTGGCCCCTACTGGGGGCCCTTGAATCCAAGTCCTAGCTCAGTTTAGAGGCAACACATAATACCTGCTGTGCTCAGCATACAGTGAGTTCCCGTCAAGCCCGAACTCAGACCCATGAACCCTGCCAAACCTTGGACAGGTAGGAGAGGTGAGGAAGGGGAAGATAAGCAGTCCTAACCCTGGCCTTGGAGAGGCGAGCCCAGGAGAAGAGACTCAAACACTGGGAAACGATTTGGAGACAGCACAGAGCTCAGCAGACACGCTTAGTGGGTGCCACTGCCTACCCCTGTCACAGTGGATCTTCCTCAGACCCCAGGACGAAAGCACAGCTCCCACCTGTGGCATCCTCCCACCAAGACATGCACAGCCTAAATTCTGGGTTGCCAAATTCCACGATGTCTTCAAAAATGAACTGTATTCCCAGACCTCTACCTTCAGGTTCCTTTTTATCACATGGACAGAACAAGTTCGAGGTCAATTATCGGGGCATATACTCCACCCAGGCTCTTCTCACTCCTGGTGGGCATCTCACGTTGGCCTCCATGAGAACTTCTTGTAGTGCCTACCTGCCTTTTCTTCCCTTCATCTTTTTTTCCTGAGCTCCCTACACCAACCAGGTAAGGACCTGCTAAATTGTGGGAAAGCCCATCAAGCACCTTCCCCGTAGGTAACTATCCAAATTAAACCCAGAAGAAGCAGACACACCAGCCGCCTCTTTGGGATGCGTTAACTTCTCTCCCTCTTCTGATGTGATTGGTCACCAGGTCACTTTTCTACCCCAATAGTTACCACTGTTCCTGCCCCAGCCAGAGCTCCAGTGGTGCATATGGTGGCTTGGGCAACAGGGTAGGAGCAAGGTGCCTGCAGAGCCCTGTTGGTGGGCATGGCTTTTCTGGCACAGCGCTAGGGCAGGGCAGGGCTTGACATGGACATCAGAGGATGGAAAGGGCCAAAGCCAGGGTTGACTCTGGCCAAACCATATGCAAGCCAGCATAAGCTACCTGAATGCACCCTGGTGGCATACGTGCTTGCTCTCCACTTGAGATATTCCCAGGAAAATGGAAAAGTAGACATTTCACCTGGAAGCACTCTGGAAAAAGAAACTACCAGGTAAAAATCATGAATA